ATGTGAAGAACAAGAGTTAAAAGCAAAGAGACATCTGTGGCTCACATTAAGCATTTAATAATAGCGTTATTGCTATATGGTCATCTTCATATTCTCTAGTCTTTTACATGATTACTTGTAGAACATTCCAGATGATGAGCAAATGTTTCTCCTGAGCAAATCTCTGCCACAAAGACACTGCCATTTTGAGCAGATGGCATGGGAGGCAGTATAAAAACCGGATTCTAAAATACTATGTTTCTATAGGATAGGAAATCATGAAGGTTTTACAAGGAAATACAATGTAGCATTGGTTTTACTACAATCCATATGACTGCACAGAAACATCTTTATTCTCCACATACAACTGAGTAAAGAAGGAAAGCACCCTGGTGTTACTAGCAATCTGTTTTGGACCAGATTATATGGCTCTATCAGCTGGCTTCCTTATCTGTCCAATGAGATTAGTCATTGCCACAATCATCTTTACCATAGATAATGCTTTTGATAAAACTTAAATCATGTATATGAAAGCATCTAATATACAGAAGACCCATGTGAGTTTATTATTTTTATTCCTCCCAATTTCTATCAAAATCTGTGAACTTGCTGTGATTCACGTCAGTTTTTCAGGATTCTCTTGTTACTTTCTGTCCGTTTCACACTGAATCTGGTCCGAAATGGGGGGAAAAAATACGAAAGAAAGCAAAACAAATTTTTGTTTTTGAAAATCCCAGTTAAGCAGCCAAAGGGCAATGAAGGTATATTATGATGCCCATTTTTCACTTTGAAAGCAGATGGTGAGCAGTATCTGAAAACATGGAATTGTATACCCTTCTAGATAATTCTGCAAGACTAGATAAGACCAAAAAATATAATTCTGAGCATATAAGTAATCCAATAAAATCAGACTTTATGGTCTCCCTCCTCTTCATAACTGAGCAACATATAAAATCAAAGATTCAACATAAATGTTGAAAAGATTTGTGTGTAGCCTTTTAAATGTATTAACATGTAAGTAGTTTATTTGTGCCCCAAATCTATTATTAAAGTTATCCTTATTTGTAGCCAATGTGTTTTAATATTTGATAATAGGAAAAAAGAATTTACCACTAAATAGAAAACAAGAAAAAGAAGTATTTCTTAAATTCTAAATATCTTATATTCGTATATTGCAAATCCAATTTAGCTACAATAAATAGTTCAGGGAATGGATCTAAATTTATGGCCCTACATATTTAACTACATGGTATCACAGATAAAAACAAGAGTCAATTTATGTATTTATTTACCTTAGCCTTTAGAAAACTAAGATTCAGGTGGTGATGTAACTCGACAAAGTTCACAAAGCTAATAAGTGCAGCATAGGCATTTGAGTCCAGAGTTTTCTAAATTCAGCATGTCCATCGCCTCATCAACGATGGCTCATCTGAGAATGTGTGTTCACAAAGGAGAGCTGCGAAGCCCACTACTAGAAAGGCAGAGTGAAGTCAACCAGTGGTAGTCATTGAGTGTTTGATTTTTATTGAGTAGGTGTAAGGAGCCACTCAAATTGTGTACTAAGACAATGACCTGTTGAAGAAGACTGGATTATTGTTACAGTCAGATAACATTTTAAGAAAAGAAATGAAACCTTTCCTCCTCTAACAATGTGTTCTGATCAACTGATGATCTTCTTGACCAACAGGTTCAGGTACACTGTTCAATGAAAGTCGCTCTTTCCAACTTCTGAATTTCTAGGATATATCATATTTATCATGATTGTCTCCTATATCTGGATCATGTCTCCAAAAAACAGTTTTCTGTATTGTGAAAATCCAAGGCAGCTTTTATGAAATCTGCTAAATGCATTTAAAAAAATGAAATAACCCAGAATCGTTACAATTTTAAGGAAAAGGACAAAGCTGGAGGCCTAACACTGCCCAACTTCAAGATTTATGACAGTCTGCTATTGGTGAAGAAAAAGACAAACAGAACAGTGGAACAGAATGGACAACCCAGAAAAAGACCACATAAATATAGCCAAGTGATCCTTGACAAAAAGTAAAGGCAATGTAATGAAGCCTGGACAGTCTTTTCAACAAATGGTGCTGGAACAACTGCATGTCACCCACATGCAAAAAAAATTAATTTAGACACAGGCCTTATACTCTTCACAAAATTAACTCAAAATGGATCACATACCTAAATGAAAAACACAAAACTATAAAACCCCTAGAAGATAACAGGATAAAATCTAGGTGAATTTGTTTTGGCAATGACTTTTTAGATACAATGCCAAAGGCAAAATCCATGAAAGAAATAATAAGTTTGACTTCATTAAAATTAAAAATTTCTGCCATGCAAAAAATACTATCAAGAGAAAATATTTGCAAAACATATACCTAATAAAGGACTTTGTAGATCCAAAATGTACAAAAAAAACAAACCCTTAAAACTCAACAATAAGACAACAAAAACCCCAATTAAAATTGGGCCGAAGACCTTAACAGACCCTCATCAAAGGAGATATATAATAAGCATGCAAGAAAAATGTGGTGGCACTAGGTTTATGAAAATTATCTGTATTTTCCTCTCAATTTTGTGTGAACCTAAAGCTGCTCTAAAAGTAAAGTCTATTTAAAAAGAGAGAGAGAGAAGCAAAGATAAATAAAATATAGTCATACTGATTCTTATACATTTAATATTCTTATAAAAAATGCTTAGCATTTCTTATCCTTTTAGATAGAGTCAAGAGAAAATATATTCATGGACAACAAAGCTCCATGAGATCCTCTATAGAGTACTATTGCAGGTGGAGGGCAGTGACAGGTAAGGGTAAGATATAAATGAATGTGTAATACAAGCATTCACTTAAAGGCTACGCTTGTATGCATAGGTAGAAAATTGAAACAGCTTTAAAATACATACTCACTGACAGTGAGCCCAAATTAGAATAGAGTAATAAGTGCTATCCCTTGACAAGTATAACATAGATAGCTCTGGCTTATGCCACTTCAGAATGTAAAAGATAACCTAGAACACCACTGTCAGGAGACATGGATGCCTAGCTTGCAGTCCAGATCAAACAAAAAGTAAGAGAAAAAGTTCCCACATGATGTTATGTATAAACTAGTATAAAAGTGATTTATGTAAGAGATACTGTTTATGTTGGAAAGGCATAACAAGGTTATAAACAGCTTTTATTCAGTTGGTTCAATACCAATGCAAAGCTCATGCCTTAAATGGCTCCATGAGTGGTTCATCGGGAGCCAACTACAAGTCTACAAATCTGTTTACTTTAAAACAAGACAAGAACAGGCTGGTTCATTGTTCATGCATCTTTCTGAGGAACAGATATAAAACTTTCTAAGGGAACATTTCTATCTTCCAACTGTAGCTTCGTTGGCTTTCCTAAGCACCTAGATAATTTTTCTAACTTTCTTCTGAAAAGATCCATAAACTATTAACAGAGGTTTATTTTAAAGAGAAGCATCTGCATAGGCTAAAGTTAAGACTCAGATTTTTGAAGGGCAATTAAAGTCCTCTTATTATTTTCGGGGAATATGTAAATAAATTCTGATTTGATGGTTCCATTTTTAAAGATTCCATAGAAGTGATTCCCAGAGGAATATCTAGTCTTAAACTCAGCTTTTCAGATTTTTTAATTATATAGAGTCTCCTTTCTGAAGACCCAATAAGAGATATGACACTATGTCTTCTTTACTCACAGTTTCTTCTGTTGCTTTTAAGAGATAACTGTCCTTGAACAGTCTCCCCTCACTGGGTAGAGCAGGCTAGTCAGATTCATAGGAAACTTTTTTTTATTTTATCTCCTGTGTACTTTGTGTGTTGAGTATGTTAATGGTGATGACCAATCTTAAATAACAGGTTATATAAAATACAAACATTGCAATCCTTAATAAGATAAACTATAATCAGAAGTCCTGAACTTAAAAACAGAATCATAACACTGAGAGAAGTCTTAATGATAATTTGGTCTAAAATCTTCCTTCATACTAAATTGAAATATAAAATAATTTTATATTTGGATATGAGGTCCATTAAAATCAAGTAACTTTATCATCTTTACAATTCTAGTTACTGGCAAAGGCAAGACCAGATCCCCAATCTTGATTCCATTTCTTTTTATTACATTACTGGAATTCTGAAAACAAGTTATTTACATCCAACCATGAAAAAGAGGAGAATTGGTAGTCTGATTAAAAATGGTAAACATAGGATTAGGGATATTACACTGCATTCCAGTAATGAAATAAATGAAGCTCCCTGTGTTATTCCTTATACAAGAAAGATAAAGGCAATGGATTCAAGATCAATTTATGGAAGTTGGGAAAAGACACCACCTCTGCAATGAAAGTGAATGTTTTGGCCCTGCCGGTGTGGCTCAGTGGTTGAACATCAACCTAGGAACCAGGAGGCTGCTATGCCAGATCAGGGCACATGCTCAAGTTGCAGGCTAGATCCCCAGTGGGGGACACACAGGAGGCAGTCAATCAATGATTCTCTCTCATCATTGTTGTTTTTTATCTCTCTCTCCCTCTCTCTTCCTCTCTGAAATCAATAAAAAAGAAAGTTAACGTTTTGGGTTCCATGTAGGCTTCAGGAAAGTTAATATAAATCCTTTTGAAAGCAGAAATAGTAATCCAAACCAGTAATATTATTTCTCCTCCCCCCCCAAAAAAAATCTTTGGATAATTGGGATTTGAGAAGAATGGTGTTGCTTTCTGAATCTTGTGCCATTGTGGACATGCAATAATTAGCATTCGCTGTTGGAATTATGAAGCAATCCCTTTGCTATGTTATTCAAAAGCCTTGACCCCCTATTTTCAGATTAAAATGAAGACTAAAAGACTGAACTTGACCCTGCCTGAACGTCTGTGGGCTATTTTCCCCTCAACCAACAACCTCACCTAAACTCCCAACTTTTAAACTGCTAAAACCATGGAAACATTAATAATGACCCCCTTCATTAAGCCTCAACTTCCCCTCCCACTTGTACTTTTGACCAGTTTACTCACTTCAAAGCAAGCAACGGCATCCTGTTCAGCTACTCAGCAGGACCTCTGCATCTTCACCAACACCTTCAACCAAAAGCCACAAGAAACTCCATGATCTCCGCATTCCTCCTCCTCCGGGGACGGCAATTATGTAACCTCCAATTTTTTAAATTTTATTTTTTATGTTTTCAGTTGCCATGGGAAAGACTGTGTTTGGTCAGCTCCATCAGCAAGGGGTAATTACTGGCTTCTCTTACACATACACACCACACACCTGCAAGGCTGCAAAGAAAAATAATACATAATTAAAGAATTTTTCAAAAAGGCCAACCCAGTGTCAACCAAACAATGTATTGCTCTGCTACTGGTAGAAATAAACAAGGGCAGCTATATATTGCCAGTTAAACTTGGCATTTTCAGTTTAAGTATTAAAAGCAATTAATATTTCCTCCTAATTTAATATTTGTCAGGAACTATGGACTAAGCACTTTAAATGAGCCATCTTTATATGGGTAAACTCCAAAAATATAAATTTATAATTCTAATTTTTACAGAAAATTAATGAGGTTCAGAGAGGCTGAGTAACTAACACAGGGCTAATTAGTGGTGGAGCCAGGATTCAAACCCAGAGCCCACAGTCTTGCTGGCCTGGCTTGTCACTTGTGGTGTGTGACCACAGCCTGTGTTATAACTCCAGCTAGCTTCCAGGCTGGTACACTGACTTGCTGAAGGGACTCAAACTATCACTCAAACATGAAGCTAAAAAGAAAAAAAAAAGGCAAAAAAAAAAAGCAAAATATTGTTGGTACCAAAATGCATAGGACCATAGGTCACAGCAGTCAAAAGGATTCTCTGTCATTATTCCAGTACCAAGTAAGTATGCATGTGTGACATTCAAATCGTGTGACCTTTTCCTTTGTCTTAATCTTTTCATTTCCTGGAGCTAACTTCTCGATGTTAACAGTTCTTGTTCATAAAAATACTCTCAGCTAAAGTACATCATAAAGTTAACTTTGAGTCTTAGCAGATTTGTGAGTTCGGAATAATGAGAAGAGCAGTTGATCTTTCATTTACTTTATTTTCCTAGGAGAAGAAATATTTTACTTTGGCCTCCTTGTTAAATTAGGTAATTATTGAGATTCTTGTAATCCTTACACTGGGGATCTGATTCCTATGGGTGCAAGGTATAAACAAGTCCCAAAGAAGTCTATGTTAATAGTGTAAAGTTTAAAATATGATTAAAAGAAATAGAGCCTTACAGTAGGCTGGCAATATTAATCGTTCTGTCTTTTAACATGTCAACATACACTAGCCCAGTTTTCGGAAGGGCCAGGCTCATCCTGCCCCCTCCCCCAAAGTCCCTCATCTCCCTTAACTGCACCTATCATAGAAGACTCCAGACAGGGTAGAGCCCAAGGCCACCCCTTCTCCATCAGCATAGCAAGTCCGGCCATCACAGTGCTGCTTGTGAGAGTTTGGTAAGACTCTGGCTCCCGGCCCTTGGCCTCATCTGACCTTGCCTTTCAGCCATATCACTCATCTCCTGGAAAGGAACCTATTTCCAAGCCTCTTCCACACCAGCAGCAGGAAAGGAATTTCGAGTCTCTTGAGTGTTAAGTAAACTGGGTAGAAAAAAGTCCAGCCTGGCTTCCGTAGGAGGGAGATGAGATGGAGGGCTGGGGGGGGGGGGGGGGGAATACAATGATATACTTTCACTTTGCCAAATTCCCATCCCTTTTCTGGCCTTCAGCAATGCCAGGAGAGAAAGCCAAAAGGAGGTGGGAGGATAAGTGGAAACAGCTCCTCCTCTTCCCTTGCTTCCTGGCCGGCTCTCTGTAAACACGTCTTGGCCACCCTTCCTTCCCCACGCGGGAGCTGGGGAGCCGCACCGGCTTGTCTGGCTGCAGGGCCTCCAGAGCCGGTGCCTCTGGAGCTCCCTGAGGACCTGGGCATGAGGGTGGTCAGGGAGGCCACAGGGTGGATTCAGGGGAGCCTGTCCAAGGACATGACCTTTCCCTCAACAACTAGAGCTGTTGGCGTCGTTCCCAGAGGTGAGGGGAAGGGTGTTCAGATGAAGTCCTTCTCTCGGCACCACACTTTTGACCTTCTCCTGGGGAGCAGCTCAAAGGACTGAGGTGGAGTGCAGGCCAGCAGTGCCCAGAGAGGGGATGGACTCGCCTGTGGGAATGAAAGGCCCGCGGGAGAGAAGTGAGGTTGTGGTGCTGAAATCCCTGCTCGCAGACCCAGGGCCAGAGCAGAGCTTATAATTAAAAGTAAACTTGGCAGCGGCTCTCTTAACACAGGAGGCAAAAAGTTAATGTCTGATGAGCTGGGGCCCATGCCAAAGTCCAGCTCAGCACCCGCCCCACAGGAGACTAGTTCAAAGGAATGAGGTCTAGGGGTGGCAGACCAACCCAATTCTGGGCTTGGGAGCCCCAATTCTGGGCTCGGTACCACTGTGCCCGTCTCTTCCACAAGCTCTGGACACCATCATCAGTGCTTTACTGATATATCTTGCCCATGAGGCAGAGCTGAGGGCTGGCCTTTTCTGGGCTTCAGATATCCCTGGCTCGGTATGCTAGGTCTGTTCTGTCTAGTAAGCTGGCCACTAGAAACACGTGGCTCTTGAGCACTTGAAATGTGGCCAATCCAAATTGAGAAGGGCTCTGAGTTTAAAATAAGCAGCAGGTTACCAAGACTAAGTGTGAAACATAAAGTAGACTATCTCAATTTTTCATATTCATTACGTATTGAAATGACAATGTTTTAGGTATGTCAGGTTCAATGAAATGTATTGTTAAAATTAACGTCACCTGTTTTCCTTCCTTTTTTTTTTTTAACATGGCTACTAGAAAATATGTCACATCAAATATACAGCTTGCATTATATTTCTATTGGACAGAATTGTCCTGGATATTTCATTAATGCCGCTGAATGAATCAAAGAAGGAATGCTGACTTTAGCTCAGCATTGATATTTTTTTAATCCACATAGAAGTAGTCCATAGAAATGGTTAAAAAAGAGTGAGGCATCGTTGTCCTTTGAAATAACTCTGTATCTGGAGCTACATTTAATTCTGAGTCACTTGCTCTGAGAAAATGCTTACTAACCACCCAGGACTCCAAAAGGATGAGAGGGCGACGGACTGTCGGCCAGGCCACACCACTGAGGCCAAACTGGACCTCCAGGCCTAGGAGACAGCAGCGCAAAGGACAGCACACTCTTCCCAGCACACAGAGAACTGTCAGAGGAGATCAAACAACTCCTCTGGGAACCCCATGGTTTCCCAAGCTTCTCTCCATCCTAAGCTAACTATTACCTCAGTCCGTCTGTTTGCTTTTAATATGCTCTTTAAAGCTGCTTTAAGAAACTTCATTACAAATCAAAATCACTATGATTTATCACCCCACACACATCAGGATGGCCACTGTTACAAAAATTAAAATAGAAAAATAACAAGTGTTGATGAAGTTGTGGAGAAATTGGAAGCCTTGTGCGCTGTTGGTGGGAATGTAAAATTTTACACTCCCACCAACAGTGCAGGGGTGGCAAACAGTATGGAGGTTTCTCAAAAAGTTAAACATAGAATTAACATATGATCCAGTAATTCCACTTCTCCAAGAGATATCTGCGCACCCACAGTCACTGCAGCATTATTCACAATAGTTCAAATGTCCACTGGCAGATGAATACATTTAAAAAAATGGGGTATATACAATGGAAAGTTGTTCAGCCCTAGAAAGGGAAAACCTGCCATATACTACAACATGAATGAATCTGGAAGACATCATGCCAAGTGAAATCAGCCACTCACAAAAGGACAGATACTGTATCATCCCACTTATATGAGGCCCCTCGAGTAATCAAACCCATCATCTTGCAGTACTGAAACTCTGTACCCATTGTTGTTCACCACTGTACACCTAACAATGGTTTAAATGGTAAATTCTATGTTTTGTTTTTTACCACATTAAATAAAAGGAAAATGCATAGCATAATCAATTTTACTGCTACTGAAGAATTCACAGTGAAGACCCTGATGCAGTCTAACATTTTATCATCTTTACCAGAATAAAAAGAAGAAAATGTACTCAAACAGATATTTACACACCCGTGTTTATAGCAGCATTATTCAAAATAGCCAAAAGGTGGAAATAATCCAAAATGTCCATTGGCGGATGAACAAGTAAAAAAAAAAAATGTGGTGTGTGCATACAATGGGATATCATTTAGCCTTTAGAGAAATGAAATTCTAACACCTGCTACAACATGAATGAACCCCGAAGACATCATACTAAGTGAAATAAGCCAGTCACACAGAGCAATACTGCACGACCCCACTACTATGAAGTATCTCGAGCAATCAAATTCAGAGTGACTGAAAGAAGAGTGGTAGTTGACAAAGGCAGTGGGAAGCAGGCTTAGGAATTACTGCTTAATAGGTAGAGAGTTTTGGCTTGGGAAGATGTAAAAAGTTCTGGAAATGGATGGTGGTGATGCTTGCACAACAGTGTGACAGTATATAATGCCACTAAACTGTACATTTAAAAAATGGTTAAAATGATTTATTTTATGTTATGTGTATTTCTTTTTTTAAAATATATTTTATTGATTTTTAGAGAGGAAGGGAGAGGGAGAGAGAGATAGAAACATCAATGATGAGAGAGAATCATTGATTGGCTGCCTCCTGCACGCCCCCTACTGGGGATCAAGCCTGCAACCCAGGCATGTGCCCTTGGCCAGAATTGAATCTGGGACCCTTCAGTCTGCAGGCTGGCGCTCTATCCATTGAGCCAAACCAGCTAGGGCTGTTATGTATATTTCACCACAATTTTAAAAAGAGAGAAAATGTTACAAGAGGAAGGATGAGGAGGCAAGAAGCCAGTTGAGGCAGGAAGATCAGAATGGCCCTTGGATTATCGAATAGGAATTTACATTCATCCCCGCAGGGCTGCCTGGAAATGCTGACGGGGCATCACTGCTCTCTCTCTCTAAACCAGACAGTGTCTGTGGCAGCATTCTGTCTCCCAGGAAGTGTACAACCTTTTCATTTTGCTGTTTGAACTTGCAGTGAGATTCAATAGACAGAACAAGAGTGCACACACAAATGACAGAGAGGGAATGTGTGTGCACTATTTGGGGTAAGAATTATCTATTTCTTCCAATCCACCATTTACTAGTATATTCTTTGCCTGTGTCTACTCTTGCCTATGCCAAAGTCAATAACAACAATAAAAATCAGCAGTACTGATGGTGAGAATATTCTTTCAAATACTGTACATGTTATTTATAAAATGACCTAGCAAGCTAATAATAACAAAGATATTAGGTCACAAGCTCTTTAAAAATCACAGCATTTATCATTAAGACCATTTCACAAATGAGGAAACTGAGGTTGATAAAAGCACTTGTCCAAGAACACAACGGAGATTTTCCCCCTTCCGGTCTGACTCCAAACTAGAGTTCCTGGCCGCTGCGTGCGGGTGCACTTTGTAAATGAAGGCCACCTACTTAGGACTATTAACAAATTAGAGGAGACAGAAGAATAAGTGGGGGGAAGGCAGGGCAGGTACTGGGGAGCTCATTCCATTGCCAAGGCAGGAGTGATACCTACCTACACCCACATAAGGTGTGAAACCGAATGTTTTAGGAGGACTGATGACCATGACAATTTCAACACCTTCTTTTTTAATTTCTAAAACTCTGCTGCATAAACAGGAACCGAGAGAAAATGACAACCTATGAAAGGGAAAGTCTGGCTGGGGGAGGAGGTGACTAGTCGGCTCTCTGCCAGGGCCCTTCTCGCTAAGTTACTGATTAAAGGACTTAGACTAGAGGAAAAGAAAATATCAGAGGGAAAACAGAACTGTCCTCCAGCCAGGGTACTGGCCCCTCATGAGCGATAATTTCCACAAATTATTTGTGCTCCCGAGAAGATTACGCTTTATATCAAAGGCGAGCCCAGGAAAAAGTGTCATCAGAGGGCTGAACTCTTAGTTCACAGCTTTAATTGATGTTTCGCCTAAACCCAGGTCACAGCCCCAACATGCTCACCATGGAGCTGAGATTATTAGCCAATTCAGTGAGCATGGGACAGAAAAACTCACTAAGGAACAACAGCTCCCTGAATCTGTTCACGCATATCCTATCTCACCCAGAAATCCAGAAAATTACCGTCAGACACATCACAGGATCAAAGCCTTTGCGTCCAGGAGAAGCTTAAAAGGGCACAGACTTTTCCATTTGCTCTGCTCTTCCCTCCACAGGATTATCTTCGGAAATCCCCAAGCGTCTACCCCTGACACAGCTTTCTCACACACCACGCTGCCCACCCTCCCGCCTATCCCCATCCATTTTTTAAGCGCCTGGCAAACACAAGGGGAAACAAAGGGCAAATGCCAGTCGGTGGCCTCTGTCTGGACTTAGCCAAGCGTGATATGTGAATCAGGTGTGTGGAATGGGAGTTTCCATGGCAACGAGACTTCAAGGCAGGCAGGGGAGTCACATATTCTTTCTACCAAGGTAACAGAAACACGGAGGCCACCCGAGGGACGCTGAAGGGGGACACAGAGAGTTCAGAGTTCTCCGGTGACTGCAAGGACCTAGGTCCTCATTGTCTCCTCCCCGACCCTCTGCTGCTCCTTGAAATAATCCACCATCCCCCTTTAGGGGGAAAGGAAGGGACAAATTAAAGAAGTCTTCTCTAAAGGGAGTTGCTTATGAAAAAAAATGTAGAAAGGACTACAAGAGAAAAGTGTTTTCTTTAGTAGACAACGCAGCGCTATTAGTCAACAGGTTCGAAAGCCCTGGCAGCCTGAGCCCGCGCTGACTCTCTACAGGGGCGCTTGCCTCTCCACCAAGCTTTGCAACGTGGTCTTCTTGGTGAATCCAATCCGTAATGCAAAACCCCTGAGCTACATTGTGTTCTACAGACGGTTTTTTTAAAAATTGTGTTTGCTGTAGATAGATACTTTAACATTATTCTAAACTTTTAGAAAAAGTGTATATTGTGGTTTTATTTTTCAAAGCTTGCTTTTTTAGACCCATGACTTGGAGGCAAAGAAAAAAGTAGTCAATTTTAATAAAATCAAAGTTAGCCTTGGTAATCTAGCTGGACAGAGGTAGTCTGAAGGCCAGGTCTATGTTGCCGTTAGGGCTTCTTAAGCTATTTTCCTGAGACCCAAGCCAGGTAAGACTTTCCACCTTGGTTAGCTCTGCCCTTCTGAGTCCTTCAGATGACTCCAGACACTGACCAAGAGAACTGCTGTCCTACCTCTGCTAATGGCTCTACTATGGCTGATCATCCTCCCCATGGCACCCGAGAAACCCTTCTGCCCTGCACGCTTGATCACGCCACTCAGGCTCCAGACCTTTCAGATGAGTCCTCATTGCAAATCTCTCATCATAGTTTCCAAACCCACACATGGCCTGGCATCTGCCTACCTCTTTAGTCCCATCTTCTGCCATTCTCCAATTTACACTCCGCATTCCAGGCAAATTCAACTATTCTTAATTCCCTAAAGTTACCATTATCCTCTCTTACCTTTAGCCCTTGATGTTACTGATTATTGGGGGGGGGGGGAATAACACCCCACTTAATTACTCCTTTCTTAATATCTCAAGTAAGATATCACTTACTCCAGGAAGCCTAAGTCCTTGCAACAATTTCAGCCTTAAAGTCCTTCTAGGTGCAACCGCAGCACCCAGGCTTCCCCAGCTCAGCATCATCACCTAATTCTCTGTCAGCTTCGTGTCTATGATCCCATCCAAATCAAAGAAGGAGCAGGAATTGTGCCATGTTCAACTTGGGCTTAACTTGGAGCCCAGCGCATAGGAGGTGATCATTCAAGATTTACCAAAAATCATTGAATGAATGAATGATCACAGCGGCAGGCATGGCATGATTGATCACAAAGAGCACCAACCACATCTGGGCTCAAGCTTCGCAGTCCAGTTCTGCTGCTTGTTAGTTCTGTGGCTTCAGTGAATCTCAGATTCCTGCTTCTCTTTTCTTTTTTTTCGGATTCCCGCTTTTCAGGTGATGTAGCAATGCTTGCCCGCGATTATTATAACCATAAAAGAAGCATCAAATGAGTGTTTGTGAAATTCTTTGTGAACATTTTAATAAGTCTATGTAAAATGTCATTTCCAGGAGGAGGCTAAATAAGAAAGAGCAGAAAAGGAGAAGTGCTCTGAGAGGCAGAATGATTGCAGGGACAGAATCTGAGGAAGGAAACTGGGGGCTATTGATATTCATGGTATACTGCCTCATATGGCATAGATTGGCTTCTTTTTATTTTTTCTTTAAACTATGAGAACATATTTAGAAAGTCACAGAGGCAGAAGAAGTGAGTCATAGAAGAAATGGGCTCAGGAAATAAGTTACAGAGGCAACAGAAGGGCCCTTGGAGCTTAGGAGAGAGAAGGGTAAAGGTAATATGCCTAGGAAGAGGGGGATGGGGAGGGGAGAGGAAAGGCCTGCTCCAGGGAGGGAGAGCGCCTACTTCTTTCTGACAGATAATTATGTTCCTCTCTTCCCCATTTTGGGCCCAGACATTCTTATTAGCCTCAATTTTCCACTTATATACCATGTTCATTTCCACCAAATACTACTATGTACTATTAACAGTTCTTGGGCCTTAGTTTATTCTCCTTCCAACTGTTAAATACCCTCTCTTTCCCCATGCTCCATGTGAATCTTACCAATACATCATTATCCATAATCATCCGCATCTATAAGGCCTTTCTTGAATAAAGTAACTCAGCCACCTCTCTCCTCCTGATCTTCTAGTGTCATAAGGGCCCACGTTTCACTATTCAGTGCTTTCTCTTTATTCTTCACACATACGTGCCATGCCCTTTCTAAAACGTGGGGAGGACGTCGCACATCGGAAGAGCCAAGTCTGGGTTAAAAACACGTGGAGCTGGCAGAGGAGGTGAGAGGTAAGACGTGTACTAAGAATTAGAAAATCACATTGACTAGTCTGCCAAGAAACCAAAATTATATAATGAAAAATGAGGAAATTAGCTAGCTAGCCAGTTTCTGCACTCCAAGATTCTGTGGTAGTTGAACATGACACATTACGAAGAGGGCATCAGGTAATGTTTCAGTGAGAAGGGAGCAAGTAGAGGACACGGTTTCCCAAGTAAATATACCAAGTGATTTCTTATCCTGAAGAAGAAAACCAATAAGAAGAAGAAATGAAAAAGCAAAAGGAAATGGAAACCAGATGGAAAAAGAACCACCAGAGTGATCAATCAACAACATTTTGCTGAGTACCGTTGTCCCATGCATGGGAAGCTGTTTTAGGTGTGTGCTTGGGGTACACAAGGCGGGAAGGTTCTATGCAGAGAATGAAACAACAGCATCTGTGCTTGCAGGGCCTGGCAGTCGACATAGGGTGAAAAACATACAGAGATGGCAGCATAACTAAAGATTTAAGTCGGTGCATGAGAAGTGCCAAATGAGCACTGCAGAGTAAGGACAGATCACTGCATGCTGAAGTATTCAGGGGAAATTTTTCTAAAGAGGTGACCTAACTGCTCTATTTTTTTTTCTTTTCTTTTTATTAAATTTATTGGGGTACATTGGTTAATAAAATTATATAGGTTTCAGGTGTACAGTGCTACAATACATCAACTGCATATTGTATTGTGTGTTCACCACCCCAAGTCAAGTCTCCTTCCATCACCATTTATGCCCCCTTTATCTTCTTCTACCTACCTCTCCCCGCTTTCTCTCTGGCATTCACCATACTGTTGTCTCTCTGAGTTGTTTGTTTTGCTTAATCCCTTCACTTTTTCACCCAGTCCCGCACCCTCTCCCCCTCTGACAGCTTTCAGTCTGTTCTGTGCCTATGAGTATGTTTCTATTTTATCTATTAGTTTATTTTCTTCATTACATTCCACATATAAGTGAGATCATGTGATACTTGTCTTTCTTTAACTGGCTTATTTTATTTAGCATAATGCTCTCGAGATCCATCCATGCTGTAAAAAAGGGTGAGAATTCCTTCTTTTTTATAGCTGGCTGAGTAGTATTCCATGGTATAGATGTGCCACAGCATTTTTATCCACTCATCTACTGATGGGCACTTGAGCTGTTTCCAGATCTTGGCTATTGTAAATAATGCTGCAATGAACATAAAGGTACATATATTCTTTTGAACTGGTGTTTCAGGTTTCTTCAGATATATTCCCTGAAGTGGAATTGCTAGGTCATAAGGCAGTTCCATTTTAATTTTTTGAGGAAATTCCATCCTGTTTTCCACAGTGGCTGAACCAGTCTGCATTTCCACCAACAGTGCACAAGGAGTTCCCTTTTCTCCACATCCTCATCATCACTTGTTGTTTGTTGATTTTTTGATGATAGCCATTCTGACAAGCATGAGGTGATTATCTCATTGTGGTTTTTAATTTGCATTTCTCTGACGATTGGTGATGCTGAACATCTTATATGTTTACTAGAGGCCCGATGCATGAAATTCATGCACTCGGAGGAGCGGGGGGAGGTCCCTCAGCGCAGCCTGTGACCTCTCGCAGTCTGGGAGCCCTCAGGGGATGTCCGACTGATGGCTTAGGTCTGCTCCCGAGCGGGATACTTAGCGCTGCTGCGGAGGCAGGAGAGGCTCCCGCCACTGCAACTGCACTTGCCAGCCGTGAGCCCAGCTCAGAGCTTCTGGCTGAATGGTGCTCCCCCTGTGGGAGTGCACTGACCACCAGAGGGAAGCTCCTGTGTTAAGCTTCTTCCCCCTGGTGGTCAGTGTGCATCATAGTGATTGGTCCTTCTGCCATAAAGTTGATTTGCATATTAGCCTTTTATTATATAGGGTGGAACTACTTGACAGTCAATGTGCCCCACTGAGGGGTCCCGGATTGAGAGAGGGTGCAGGCCAGGCTGAGGGACCCCACTGGTGCACAATCGGAGCTGGGGAGGGAAACGGGAGGTTGGCCAGCCAGGGAGGGACCACAGAAGGGCACTAGGGAGTGTCCAGCTTGTCTCACTCAGTCCCGATCGGCTGGACCCCGGCAGCAAGCTAACCTACTGGTTGGAGCATCTGCCCCCTGGTGGTCAGTGCACATCATAGCTACTGGTTGACCAGTCGACTGTCTGCCCCCTGAAGGTCAGTGCACGTCATAGTGAGTGGTTGAGCAGCCTAAGCATATCATTAGCATATTTTGCTTTGATTTGTTGAACAGACAACCAGATAACCAGACACTTAGCATATTAGGCTTTTATTATATAGGATTGGCATCTGTATGTCCTCTTTACAGAAGTGTCTATTCAGGTCTTTTGCCTGTTTCTTTA